GACCCTGCATCCATGAACTCGAATGATGAACCGCACACAAAAATTAGTGACTGTATGGCAGGAAGGAAAGAGCTAAAGACATGGTCTCATATAATATATGCAAAAGTCAAGTTTTTGATTTATCAAAAAGGTTCACGCATAGGTCTGCTACTGGCATTCTGGAGTCAGTAGGGCTGTCTAAAGACATAGGAAAAAACACTGGATAGGCACCATAATAAGTCATGAGACTTGCTGGGAGCCAGAAGACTACAATGAAATAAAATGAAGTAGGACTGCATGCCCTCTCTAGCAATGACCTCCTATTAAATAAATTCAGAGATACACATTTTTTGTGGGATCATTGTCACGTATACAGGATAGACCTTCACTGCCTAAGGATGGCAGTGTTTTGTTGACAGGATCCTTACCACTAATTGCAGAAATTCTTAAGTTTCTGGTTTCAAAGAGGTGAGGCAAGAAGCAAAGCAAAGCTTCTTGGTAAATTATGTAGCTGTGGAGGGATGACTTTCTGTGCCACTTTTTGGTAATAATTCCTGCCTTGTGCCAGACAATTCTATGTGAGACAAGCTGATGTTCACAGGTAAGACACTATGGCTGTCTCCTTTTTCCCCCCCACATGGTTCATACAAAATATAAACACAAAGAGTAGAAAAAACACACTGCCAAATTGCAGACATGCTTGTAAAACAACTAAGACTTAGTGACTGAATACTTCAGTGCCAGCATGATTTGAGCATGTGGAATAGAGATGAGATGGATATCACATCCAGCAAAAATCCAATTAAAAAAAAAGGTCCTTCCACTGCTAATAGCTACCATGTCAGCTGGATATAACTCACTTCGGAAAGCTGTCAAGAAACGATGTGGGAAGGAAGTCTGCCTTGTAGAGAACATTTTTTTTTATCTGAATTACTAAAATCAGCATGTCTTTACTAGTTCAGACAGTTCTGTATTTTAAGAAAATAACAGATGCAACATCAATTTCTTCTTGAGACACCTTTCAAGCTTCCATAACAGCTTCTCAAAGGAAATGAGCAGGCTGAGAGATAGCTGTAACTCAACGTGCAACCCTGATAGATTTTAAGCCTCTCTTTTGACACTAACTACCTGCTTAGGTAAGCTGTGACAGTTGTAACATCAGAAATATAGCTCTCACGGCAAAAAAATATATAGTTTTAGCTTCCAGTAGAACACAGGATCCTGTTGTTTTAGAATATTAGATAGTCAACATTCTTGGAAAATTCACCAAAGTTGGGTCTTGAAAAGGTACTTCTGGACAAAAATATATTTGATGAGCAGTAACAAAGACTTTAAAGCAAATCTCCAAAGGCTATGCACCTTACATGGTAGACACTTAAATACGTGACTTGACTTTTTAACAGTGTGAAAGTTCAATACCACCAACTTGAATTGCAGCCTATGTTGTAGAAACCATTATAACTATACATCATATAAACAGAGTTTGGCAGAGTTCAGAATCTAGAGACAGTGAAATTTCAGACACGCCAGGAGTATGCACGTCCCCAGGAGAATCCTGTCTAAATAAAGTTCCAATTTGATTCACCAAATACTTTGCAAAGTATACTAAGTAGAAGTGATGTAAAATGGCAGTTACATGTTAAACATTAACACCACATCATAGAATCACAGAATTGCTCAGGTTGAAAAAGACCTTGAAGACCATCGAGTCCAACCACAACCTAACCATACTACCCTAACTCTAACAACCCTTCACTAAATCATGTCCCTGAGCACCACATCCAAATGGATTTTAAACACATTCAGGGATGGTGACTCAAGCACCTCCCTGGGGAGCCTATTCCAGTAACATTCCTAACATCCCTGTTATTTTGCCAAGTGTTCTCTTGAAAAAAGAAAATCAAACCAAAAGTAAATGGCATTGAAATGACTATTTTAACTCAAGCCTAGCTTTTAGAAAACAGATTGTTTGGAAAAAAAACACCAACAACAAAACAGCAGTTCTTTTGACACCTTACCTTTGTATAATACTTCAATTTACATACACTGCATTGTACAGCTTGATACTTGTGAAGTACTATTTGTGCCCCTGTTCAGAGACAGGCCAATACTTTATCAAGCTATGTAATGTGCAATTTTGACTAAATAGTTGTTTATCTAAGATATTACTGTTGATTTTTCTTGGTCATCAAAATAATTATTGGTATGCAGTAGCACTTTAGCTAGTATATAAAAACTGTTTTCTCCTTTACTTCTTTACTTTTCCCTCTAGAAAATAATGACAAGACTAGCAACAGAGAGTGAATCTGCTCTTCAGACAACAGTTTCAAGAGCTTCAGTAATGTGAACATCTCCACTGTGCCAAAGTAATCTCACCTTACTCTTGGCAGAGAAGAAATGTTGGTTTCCATTTCTCTTTCAGTCTTGATCTCAATGCTAAGCAAACAGATGAAGCAATGGTTACCAGCACCATCTGTACCTGTTCTAGCAGCACGTTCCCTTCAATCACTCTAGCTATCAATCTATCAATACATTTCCAAAAGGTTGCAAGAAGCACACAGCACGCAGGAAGTCTTTGTTATTTCCAACACAAGTTGGTTTCAAACTAAGAAGTTTCTGTCTTGATGTTCTATCCATTTTATCTGGTTGTGATGCACACGTTCCCAGCAGATTGGTATATAGGAAACTCAGGAATTCCAGCTCTCAGCGTAGAGAGCTGGAATTTAAAGACTCCCCAGAAAAGATCTCCAGAAAAGAAAAACAAACTGCACACATCAGTAAACAAAGCAGCACTGTGACCAACCATATAGCGACCGTTTTGCTATTTTGTGAGCAGTTCTAGTGCAACGGCTCTTAGATGACAACTTCTGGAAATTCATAGCCTTCAGTCAACACTTAAATCAATATCAATACTGTGACTCACCTTAATTTCCTCACCCACAAAACTAAATTGTTCCCTTTGCAAAATAGTGCTGGATATTTCCAAAGTGTGCAAAGCAGATTAACACACAAAGCAGAGAAGTGTACAGGAGTTTCTATAGATGTCTACGTTGCAGAGTTGGCCCTCACACCCTACTGAGTCTGTTGCCTTACGCTACGCTAAGTTTGAGGCTTGAAAATCTTCAAGGAATAAAATCCACCAAGGAATGAAAAACGTATCTTCTGAAATGGAGAAATTTGCAGCTAGGGGAAATCACCATAGGTCAACTGGAGGCAGCAATCCCATGAGAGACTTGGATTTATATGAAAGCTATGAGGTAGACTGACAAGCTCCCTACACTTGCAGTAGAACTTTGGGAGATAAAATGCCCAGAACCTGAAAGTCATGTCTTAGAACATTTAACAGTTATATAGCACACTTGCTTCACCTTAAAGATTTACTTCACCTTACAGCAGTCTGCACATATATGATAAAATGAATATCTGATAGGCATCATTTTGAAAGCTTATTAATACAGATGGTAAGCCTTAATTCTCAAGGAGTTTTAATAACCAATACATTTGCTAACAACAAACACACAAATTATTGAAGTGTCCAAATTGAATAATCTTAACTGCAATAGGCTTGCTGAGTTTTGAGCATAAATTTCCAAACTAATTCAAAGGATGCAATAATACATTAATTTCTACTAAATTAATAAGAACTTTTTTTCCTTCATTTTAGAGTGAATTATTGCAGAAGACATATCTGCAGGGCCTGATACTTCTCATCGAGAGAAATCACAACTCTGCCTTTGGCCTTAAATCAATAGTTATGGTAACTCAATTAATCAGTAACGCATTGCTGCATACCACAGTACTTAATTATTATAGCACAGTCCACTGTTCATATCCATATGCAGGCTCATTTGAACAGAAAAGTCCTTAAAGAAATGAAAAAGAGAAGCTAAGAAACGACTGGCAATATGTTTAATCTTAAAATATGTGGAATATTCCATCCACTCCAATACAGATAAACTAAATAAAGCCCCTCTTTGACTGTTCCTAGATCATAAAGTTAACTGATTTAAAAACCTAAAAGATTTGAAACTTTGATCAGTCCTAAAATGTATAGAATCTGAAAAATGACTGGGTTTTCTTCCACATACTAGGCATTACAGGTATCACAACTGAAAAAACAATTTAAAATTGATATTAAAAATTGGAGTTAATTTCACAAACATATCCTTACAATCAGCAATGTTTTTTATTGAAAAGACAGTGTGAACTGGTGCATCTCCACTGATTTCAGTGGGACCACGCAGTTTCATAAATGCTCTAAAAAGGGCAGAGGTCTACACAATGCACCAAACTACTACACAGGAAAAAACACTCCCTTCTCCAAGGGTGAAATGCATGGTTGCATGAGAGACCTGATTAATAGATGCAGATTAGGAATGTTCTGGTACACTTAAAAATAAATAAATAAAAACCTCAATGTCTGAAAATCCAACAGTCTAGACAGACCAGTATCTTGATGTCTCAAACATCATAAATGGTACTATCTACTTCTCACTCTGTGTTCTCCCCTCCTCCAGTTTCCATCTAATCCTTAATTTAACTTGTTCAAACATCTCTGACAGAGAAAGTCAAAACAATAAGGCAAATTTTAAGAAAATGTAGAAGGTGTTAATCACATCAATACACTGCCAGTCTATGTGGCAGCACATTAGAGGCTAAGCTGAATACAAATCGCCTCACTCAGACAATGTTCACACACAATAACAGCTTCCCTCCCTCAGTTATTCATGTGCAACAGTAGATTTTGGTTTTGTTACCAAAGGTCCTAGGTCTCACTTTAAACATATGCCAAGGTCTGACATTTAAAAGAAAAAAGACAAACAAAATCCACATCTACTGACTGCTGGTCTGTCACCACTGCCAGTGTCAGGTGCAACAGCATTTAATTTGATCTTAAAAAAAAATGCATCATTTAGGTTTCACCCAAATACACGGTCTGGATTTATATATCTAAGCCTCTCACTATGGTTAAATTGGACTGTCTTGAAAAAATGGAAGTATAAAACAGGTATTTAACTTACCTTGCGCCCATCGCTTGCATGGCAGTTCACATTTAAAGGAGTCAATAAAGCCATCAGTTTTTCTTCATTACCACTCCTGCAAACCGAGAGGAGGAAATTAGGAAAAGGAGAAAAAAACACAGCTCTCCGCAAAAGATTTGTTAAGAAGCTGGACATCAAAGTATCATATATTGAAATCTGTACTCTGCCAGGGAGAATGTCAAATGGCCAAAGGATTTTTTGAACATTTCAAAACCAAGGGTAATTACAGGAAATAACATTACAACAGATGATGCAAAAACACACTTCATTTCTTTCCTTAACCTCTTCCTACATTTTCTTTTATCTAATTTTACAGATCCTCTGAAAGCCATTTGCTGAACTGCTTGTTCTGAATTAAATACCTTTATCTCGCTTATGGCCCACAACATTTGGAATAACTCCATACCAATATCCTGAAAATTTTCAGAAGGATAAACAGCCTATAAATATGGTCTTGTGCTATGAAAAGGAAGGATGAAAGCATCGTTGGAATATAAGACTGAACTTTACACCTTTTCTATAAGCTTCCATATGTTCTGTCTGGTAAAGCCTGTTTTCAAAATAAATCCTAAGGTAGTAGTAAAAAAAAAAAAAAAAAAGAAAAAAGAAAAAAACCCCAAAGGATTATTTATAATATTTAATTTGTCCCTGAAAAGAACAGTCACAAAATGATAAAGAGGATTTAAGCAGCTTAAAGCAAAAAATCTCAATATTAACCTTATAACCACCACGATGGGGGATTTCAATTACATAAACAGGCTTTTCCGTTTGTACCATACTGGAAAGTCCAAAGAGATTTATGCTAATTAAGTGGTTTGTTTGCATCATTTCATGGAAAAGCAATGATAAAACATCACTGTTCTGAAAATCTCTTTTCCTCTCCTCCTTCCACCCCCAAAATATGCTTTATATTCTAAGCAGCACTCACCTAGCAGCTTCCAGGAGTTCGTCCTTCTTGTATTCACCTAAATGATTGCAAAATATCATGCTGTTAGCATTTGGCAGAAGACAGATTAAGAAATGCAGGAGGAAGCAAATACAGAATTAAAACAGAGGAGAGGAGAAAAAAGCCCACACCCCGCTGGGTGATGGAGCTGTGACGTTAGCCAGCTTGTGGAGGCAGCATCAGCAGTACCTTGGAGACGGGCAGCAAACTGACGCATCGTCTTGTCCAATCCTCAGATGGAAAGGCTTTCTTCAGACGACCAATGACTGTGAAATCTTACGGCCAGAAACACGGTCCCGCTGATAGCGGTGTGTCAGCTGAAGACGATGTCCCCACCCCCTGCCCTATTCACTGTGTCACATTATACTTGGGAAGCATAATAAATTCTGAGACAAAAGCAAGGCAGTGCGGCGGCTTTCTAAAAGGTACAAATTGCCGTGTTCCAAAGCTCTCAGTCTATTTCAATGGGAATATTCAACTTCAGCTACTTCTTGAGAAGAGCAACGATTATTTAGAAAATCCCAAACATCCTATCATTTGCCAATTTCCAAGAAAATATGCATTTAAAATAGAAGGCACGGATGAAACTCTGTAGGAGATTTTGTTGCATGACTCTAAGATAACGGTATTAGAGGCAACCATTAGTAACGTTAAAGCAGCATTTACATCTGAAATTCTGAGTTAAAATAGACAGTCAGAAATGTTGTTGCAACACACAGTAAAAATTATACAAATACTTTAAGGAGAGCACAGTACCTGTGGAAGTGAGAGGGTATTCCACCAAAACATCATGTGTAATAAAAGTTAAAGAACTGAAGTTCAGAATTTAGAAAAAGCAGCTTCATAAAGTCACAGAGCAAAGGGTATCCTTAGAGCCAAAAGACAGAGGGCTCAAAAACATATACCATATAACACCTGCCAGAGAATTAAAGCTTCGGATCACAATGCTGTAAGAAAAGCAGAAAGGTGAAGCCATCCTGCAAAAGGACAGAAAACCTTTGTGCTGTCTGATACGTGTATTTGTAACATGACTCCAGCGAAACACAAATTGCAGAGAAGGGAGGCAGCCAGGCCATGGGAAACCCCACACCAGAGTCCAGCTACATCGTGAAGTATGCCAGGAGCAGGACTCCTCAGTAAAAGCCCTATCACAGCTTTGCTCGTCTGTCAGCACACCATGAAAATCATATGTTAGCTTTTGGAAGATTTTTTATGCATTTCATATTGAAAACAGGCACACAAAAAAGGTGAAATGCCACCAAAATGCGCGTGAGGCCTGCTGCTCACTGCTGCTCCCCAGCACCCTCTGGGGATCCTGCACACCACAGCCCAACCCAGCCATCAGCCCTATTTCTCCTCTTTATTTTTATGAAGATGCAATACTGGGCACCAGAGAGTGTTTCAAATCAGTGGTGAATGAAAAGCTCTGGCCAGCATGTGAATAGAAAAAAAAGACACTATTACTTGTGCAACAATCTGAAGCAGCTGGATTTCCTGCAGGAGTTATTGGTCTGTATTGTATCAACACTTCAGAGACCTAATCGGATTAAAAGACCTGTTTACAGTGGTTTTGGCAGCGCATTTAGCAGCCCTAACCAGCCTTTGGAATACTACCACATTAGACATGTGTAATACCATTCTTCCTTTCTGCTCAGTAAGTTGTTACACAAAAGCCTGTTCTGCAAATACCACGATTATCGAAAGCATTACTGACCAAAAGAAATCACAGAATCATAGAATGGCCCGGGTTGAAAAAGACCACAATGATCATCTTGTTTCAACCCCCCTGCTATGTGCAGGGCTGCCAACCAGAGCCTGGCCTTGAATGCCTCCAGGGATGGGGTATCCACAGCCTCCTGTTCCATTGCATCACCACCTTCTGAGTGAAAGACTTCTTCCTAATATCAAACTAAGACGGGAGGTTTAGGTTTAAAACCATTCCCCTTTGTTCTGTCACTATTAATTCATGTAAACAGTCGTTCCCCCCTCCTGGCCATGGCTCTGGATTTCAAAATGTCCCACTGTACACCCAAGTAAATTAGTCACTTTTACTAAGAAGTACTTCAAAAATAAAATATCACAGATAGTGTTGAAGTTCATGCAAGCTATTGTGTCACAACTCTCCTACATTGTGATATGCATTAAAAAACAGCATATTTTAATTGGCTGTTACTCTCCAAGAGCTGTCCCATTCTGCAAAGCAATATATAACATTGCACAGATACCACACTGGCACATTTAATTAAAAAAAAAAAAAGCCAAATGTATCACACAGGGTTCTCTGCTCTTCTGGAGCTCTTGGCATGTAACTGGATGTAGGAGCCCCTTGGCCACTTTCACAGAGAGTAGGTGCAGAGGGAGATGCTGGTGGCATCTGGGAGAAGCTAACAAATGAAATATTTCTTTGCAAAGCATTTAGAAATAAACCACGTGTGCTCATGGCAAAGACAAATTTCAAATTCCAAGCTGAAGTACAAGAATACCACCTACCAACCTCAAGCAATGCTTCTGTTCAAGAAATGTCAAACTGTTAATCCAAACTAATAACATCTCTTAAAGAGCTCCATTGGGCAAGTAAGGGTTTATAGATTTGCAAAAGGACATCTTCAGAACAATGCACAGGTAGCAGCCTGAGCTACTTTTTCAAATCTCTTAGTAATTGCTAGCTTTGAGAGAAAAAACATCTTTGCAATCACAATATCAATACAGAGGACTTTTAGCAGCAATATTTTGTACGGCACAAAGTCTCTCTGCCAAAGATGTGAAAGTTAACATTGGTTTGCCCTTGTCACTAAAAAGATGACCAAAACCACGGTCCAACAAATACAATGAGGCAAGCAATCTTCAACTGCTTGCTCTCTGACAATCCTGGACTGGGGATGTATACACAAATAAGAGCACTAGATACAGCAGAATGGAAAGACAAGCATGCACCAACAGAAAGCTTTATGAGCTCCCAAGGTATTCCTTTTGTTTGTGCTTTCCAGCTTCACGATAGCAACTGCAAGTAAAGGAGCACCTCCAGCCTTTTGCAGCTAGACTGCATGAGCTTTCCTCTGCCAGACTGCTCCTCTTGCTTCTCATTTAAAGATGCCATCATTCTATTTTTATGCCAATTGGTGATATATAATCATATGGTATTCCTACAGCTGGGTCCCACAGAAAATTTCAGTACAGCAGAAACCAACTCCACTGCTAGAGTTACAAGCAATAATCTATTTCCAGTTTTAATTCACTAGAACCCTTTAAATTTACCATATGAGACTGAAATATCAGTCATATATGCATGTCTTGGAGACAAATTTTCTAGTTTCAGGAAAAACAGAATGAATCAGTCCCGAAGCATACTTCTGAAACAAATAATCCTATTTCACTCTCTCCAAAGTGCTGAAATTTCATCTGACCACTGGCAAGCTGAAAAAGCTGTCTGAATGGCACAGACAGTGCTTTTTACAAGGCAATTACACTAAGAAATAAGGTGAGACTCTCCCTTTTTCTCCCTCTCCCACAACATTTCAGCTAACAGAGAAACCAACTGGAGCTGAAACAGCCTAAACAAAACAGTGTTTTCTCTATCGTATACAATTGTGCATTTTCCAGACTGAGAACAACTCCCTGAAAATTAATGTCACACATTATTTCATCCAGCTCACTCTGACCAACCAGACTGGCCCACAAAAATGAAAAGCCTGAGCAACGTGGTACAGAGGGGAAATGGGAGATTCCCTACTTGGGTTGCTAGAAAGAACACAGAGACTGGAATGCAAAAAGAGTTTAGTAAAGAAATAAATATCATGGAAATGAACTAAAGCATACATTTTGTCTGATTCTCCAGGGCTTCTCAGATCTAGAACTGAAGAATAAGAGCACATCCACATAAGCTATGCTTTTCATTGTAAGTTTTTTAAACAAATAAGTATTTAAACAAAATCATAAATGGGATAAGAAGCTTTCAGTGCTTGTGATAGACCATTAGTTTTCAGTTTTGTTTTTTGGTTTCTTCAATGTCATTTTTCTAGGAAATTACAATCTTATTTTCAATGTCACTGCTCTTGGAAGGATCCAATCACTCCATTAAAATACTCATCACTACTGCCCTCTACAGTTAACTTTTCCTATTTGTACAGTAACAATTGAGACTAAAATGTGAAGTTAAATCAGAGCAAGGCATTTTTACCATCCCAAAAGCACAACGTTGTGGAAGTAACCACCTAACAGAGTGGGGGGGGGGGGGGGGGGGGGGGGGGGGGG